AATGTTAAACACTGACTTTATGTTTAATTAAGTAATTGTTAAACATTGAAAGTCTGAGAGTGCATTTCCAACCATCTGCAGTAGAGGGTGCCATCTCACCTATATCCCAACCATGATGGGGGCTGAGATTCTGTATGTAAATATCTCTCAATGTTTTACCCTTGAAAGCCTAACTATTATTTTTATTCTTATGAGGCTTCAGTAGGCCTACCATACATTGTAATTTTAGATTTTAAACAGAACAATAACACTAGGCTTTGGTTGCAAAGAAGGAAACTAATAAATATTATAAAACAATGTACAGTATTTACATTAATTTTTGTAAATTATGCAAACTTAAACATAAATAATAATAAGTAAGACATAAAAAAAGTATGTTTGCTCTCACTGAGGGCAGTATTTTTTTTATTTTTTTTTACTGAAAGTGTAAATTATTATTGCATATGTACAATACATGTTGTTGAAATTACTTTTGGTGGCAGCGATTTGACAGCAAACACCTTTTTAAGGAGCTGATATGCTCTACATACTGTTTATAAACAATATTCTTAATGCTAACTGCATAGATATTCCTGTTCATCTACACAAATTATATAATGCTATTCGTAGCTCAAAATATCGCAAATCAGTCTGATCTGTGGTTTATAAACAAACACTTGTGTATTCCTAGATAGATATCAAATTGTTGTATACAATTTTTTATTTTTATTTATTTAATTAATTTATTTATTAACCAAATCAACAGCAGACACAAATCCGCCACTTAATTACAGAATGGTACACAAGACAGGAAACAGAAAACACTTAACTAATCACATCCAAGACAGTACGACGAAAAGTAGGCAAGTCAAAATTAAAAATATCAATATTGGGATAGGCCTGAACTAAATTATTATAAGATATACTTAATCTACTAATAAACCCTTTTTTTAAAAACATTAATTCTACTAAAAGGAAAATTAAAAATATTGTTATTTCTTAAATTACGAACAGGAACACGGTGGCCAAAACAAGAAACTAAATTACAATCACAAATGGAATGCATACATTTAAATAGAAAAATAAGATCTTTAAGATATCTGCGGGACAGAGGTGAAAGTATAGAAAAGTGATAATCGTTATTGCAAGTATAGCTGAACAAGCTTCCAGTCAGTTTGCAGTGGGCCAACTTCTCAGCCTGGCAGAAACTAATTAAAAAACTAATAACAATTTCTCAAAATATATGAATGAGAAAATTGACAGATATATGGGGGTTTGCCATGCCAAAACTAGCATCATCAACCAAAACTACTTTTTAATATTCATATTCTCGAACATTATAAATTTTAAAATGATTGAAAAAAAATTGCCAAAGTTATGAGTGAAAGTATTATGGCTTCTTTGTACTAAAGTGTACAATATATTAACATTTAGCAACTGTACGTTGGTTTGGGGATGGTAACCCCATAATAAAATTATAAGTATTAAAGCCAATAAACATCATAAAGACATCGTATAAACTTTCCAAATTAAAATATTGTTACAGTATATTATGTCAGAGGAAAGAAGTAGATATCATTGGGCATTAATTGATACAAAGTTGGTGAGCCTAAAACCTAGTAGTAACTTAATCTTTAGTATTTTAACAGCAAACTCAATAAACTTTCTTACCTTGCATTATTTGCTTCAAAACTGCTAATAGCAAAAGATGATTTCACTTGTCTGCATAGCTTCAGTCAACTTACTTTCACAGTAACCAAACTTCCTTTGAGTATAACAGCGTTGTGCACCTCATTTATAAAGTAAATGCGATGCATGATTGAGCAGGGTTGACGTCACTTACTGGAAGCTTCCAGCAATATGATGATGTAATAAATGGAAGACTAGGAAGTACTGTACAGTATGTGTGAAAGTGCTATGCTTCATGTGATAACAATAGGGCAGCCTGAACCTTGATATTAACAATTTTACAAAAGATGAAAACTCACTCTTCAGCTTGCTATAAATATTTAACTAAAAAATTCCCAAAGAATTTTTGTTTATTAAAATTAATTTCTTAAAAGTAATCATCCAATAGTATATTGATAGTATATTAATTTTGAACTTTAGTTTTAAACTAATTCTAAATAAAATTATTTTTGTTAGTTTTATGCCCAGAACTTGAAATTATTTTTTGGTAAGGGTATTTACTATTTGCTTTTTGCTAATCACTATTAGTAAACAGGCGGGTAAATATTAACATTTCTTTTCTTTTTCTTAATAAAAGAAATAAAATAATTATTTATATTGTATTTATATTTCCACCTCTTCTCACACTTTGACAAAAATCTTCCAGATCATATTTATTTTTATTTTACGTAAAAAAATGATTGCTTTTTTGAAAAATAGTAAATAGCAATTTTTTTCAGGAAGCTCCAAAATTTAACAAAGGCATGTATGTGAAACTAGCAATTAATTTTATTTTGCTTAAAACATTTATGGATATAGTTTTTTTTCAGCAGGTCATATTTTACTATACAGTACTTTGTAATATTACTATATTTACTATTTTGGGTCATTTCGATGTTCATTGGCTATCTGCTGCAATTATGTGATGATAAAACCTGGTAAATTCCATTATTGAAGTCAATGTGTGACCTTAAAAGAGTTGTTTACATTCAGCTTTTTTCATGAATGAGATGGCAGAATGTCAACACACTTCATGATTATGGGTTTTACAGTAGTGTATTTATAAACACTGCAATACTCAAGACCTTTTGCAGCTAAGAAAAGTAATAACGTGTTTTAACTGTAGATGCCACATTTTGTGGCATATTACTATATTTACTATACTTTACTACTTTGGGTCATTTTGATGTTCATTGGCTGTCCGCTGCAATACATGTGATGATAAAACCTGGTAAATTCTTTTATTGAAGTCAATGTGTGACCTTGAAAGAGTTGTTTACATTCAGCTTTTTTCATGAATAAGATGGCAGAATGCCAACACACTTCATTATGGGTTTTACAATAGTGTATTTATAAACACTGCAATACTCAAAAGCTTTTGCAGCATAAGAAAAGTAATAACATGTTTTAACTGTAGATGCCACATTTTGTTAATTGTTTTTTTGATTATTTTTTTAATTTTAGTTTCAGGGAAAAGAAAATGCATGATGGTCAACAGTAATTTGTCCGCATAATATTTTAATTTCTGTGTAGGTCTGTTTTAGATTCACCATCTTCCATGGAGGAAAGAAATAAGACTAATTCATTTCTTCCATAAGAGTAGCAAGGGAACTAAGGATGAATAGTTCAAGTCATTTCTATCTTCATAATCACTTTTTTTGTGATGATGTGATTTTTATCAATTTTTTTATACTGTACTGTATAATCAGATTTTACTGAATAGACAAAGTACAGAAATTATACTTGTCATATATTATCTTTTGAGAAGATCATATTTGTTTCCATCTGCTGTTTTGTTAATTATCTTTATTTCAACTAATGTTGAGTGGTATGTGCCTCAAAACAGCTTTTGTAATTTTTATATGGTGGCAATGCTTGTAACGTCAAATTAGACAAACTTGCAAGCAGATGATGGCCTGATCTATAAAAATAATGTTTGACACAAAACCAACTGTAAAATGATGATGAAAAATTTAAATTTTAGTAAATCCAACCCATATGATTCCTAATCATTCACTCTATTTAAATTTTCAACATTGATATCAGAATTAGATCATGTGACCAAAATTTTTTCAACCATGCATCCATAGGCCTACAGTATACTGTACACCTAATTTCGAAAAGAGATTGAGAGCACGTGAATGTGCACACATGACTTAACTCAGCTCATATCCTAGAGGAAAGGTCAAACATAACTTCAGGAATGTGGGATTTGTATTGAAAGCAGGAGTTGTTAATTATACTACTGTACTATACATGTATATCTACAGCTTTCGTATGAATTAGATGGCAAAATTTTTTTGGGTTTTACAGTAGTCTATTTATAAAAATAGCAATACTCAAAACCCATTGTGTAAAAAGTAAACATATTTTAAATGTAGATGCCACTTTTTGTTAATTATTTTGCTCCTCTTCTCATTGCTTGCTTCTCTCTACAGTAAACTATTATCGGGACCTCCGCTGCCTGCCAATTGGTTATTTGTATTTCCAGACATTCTGTAATCTCAATGACTATAAAGTTAAAATAAATTTGTTTACATACGATTGGTAATAGAAGAAACTTGTACAGCTTCCAACAAATTATATTCCAGTTTCAATCAATATAATTGATAATTTTAATAATTATTTTAATTGTACAGTAGAGCCTCGATTTTATGTACGGTATGGACCGGAGCGCGTACGTAAATCGGGGGATTCGTAAAATTGAGGTTGGGTTGAATTTGTGGCGACCTTTGACCTTATACGTACTTTAAAATGAGTTGCATCATTTCATAGTATGGTGTATACTAAACTGCTAATTTAATCCACCATTTATGTAAATAATTAAATTAAAAAAAAGATTTAGTCTTACTGCAATTAAAGTAAAAATATACTTCTCAGCTTTTGTTGCTATCTCAGCAACTTATTCAGGGAGACTAATGTGTTTTGTTATACAATTTTGAGACTGATTTAGTTACAATGATCCACTTGTCAGCTGCCAAAATTGGTTCTTCGGACCTTTATTGGCCTGGAGCAATTTTGGCAAGACAGACTTACTTGCACAATATTGTAGTACTTTCTACAACAAAGACTGTTATTTTTTAGCTTATGAAGCAATGACTGGTATCCTATATTTCCTCCAAACGGAATTACTCTTACACCAAATAGAGATAATAGGAAAACATCTACTGCGGCATCCACTTAATATCTAGATATGCAAGTTTGATGTGAACCTGTCAATTATGTCAAGATAAAGGCTTAAGTCATCTATCGTTGGATTACAAGGACACGATTATGTAACGTAGGCAAAAGCCAGCGTTATTGTTGTACAACCGTTATCATCATCCTCTCACTGGAAACAACATACTCCAACAATGCTAGCAACAGCAGCAAAGTAGTCTCATCAGCCTGGATTTCAGAAATTATTTGTAATATTATGGTTTAAAACCTAGTAAATGTCCATTTTACGAATACTCGATTTTACAAATGACATTTGCCCTTTGCATTATTGACCAACCAAGTCAATAACATCAAAAAAGTCTGATTGCGTACATTTTTCAAAGTGAAATGTACATATATATAAAATCAGGTTTGTTGTATTTTTGACAGTTCAATCTTTTCCATTTCCACTATAATTTTATAATTTTCCCTCAATTGCTGTTTAGTGACCTCGACCTCCTCGTAGCGGGCTAGCTGTTTTATCTGGCTCTAACTTGACATCAGAGTCAAATAAAGAAAATCTATTATATTTCAAGATTTAGATATGCGGTTTAGCTTCGACATGAACCATGCTTCTGTGATTCTTACTAATTAATGGCTACCAATAGCGCTTTAATCATTGTCCCTTTAGTAGGTCTAAGCTAGGCTAATTTTTCTCATTCGCATTGCATTTGAGATTTATGTTGTCTTGGAGACGAAAAAGTTCTATTCAAGTTCATTGACTAGTACTCAAATAATCAGGAATATTCATTTTAAATCAGTCTCGCATGACCTGTTTTCAACCAATCAAATTAAAGGAATATATACAGGTTTTGACAATTAAGATTAATAATTGTTTCGTTTTTATCTTACAGGGCACATCGTGGTAAGCATGTGACATTAATGGTACGGTTTCCCAACCAAGGACGTCAAGTGGAGGATCTTGACATCTGGTCACACACCAATGAATCAATCGCATCTGTTCGTAGACAAATTTTATTAAGGTTAGGCTTAACAATTTATTTATTTATTTATTTTATTTTATAGTAAACAAACATATATCTCCAATATCAGAAATTATATCTTACATGATGGAAGTAAATTGTAATGGTCTATAATCTTGAGTCTTTTTAAGACATGAGGTTTATAAAGAGTGGAGTTGTTAATCAAAAATTAACCTCTGACCCTAGTGTTGGAAGGTGTGACTTTTAAGCTACAGCGCTACCTTTTAACTCCATAACCAGTGGTTGCCATATTTGCTTTTCCTTATTTATAATGGCAAAAGTTCAGTATTTGTTGAATTACCGAAGAGCAAATGTACAATTTATAACAAATTTGTACTTGATAGGATAAAAGCCAACATTGCAACTACCAAAGTTGATTTATATGTAAACGGAGAATTACTTGATCCAATTGAAGATAGAAGGCTGGTTGGACAACTGGCGTTGAGAGACAAAACTGTAAGTTCCAATTTTTTTTATGGTTCTTTAAATCAATTTTTTCTTACCGTTTTAAAATAACTTTTTCTAGTTACATAATAAGTATAAATATTAATCATACCGTTACATAAAAATTACGCAATGGTAATCATATGATATATAATTTAGATTCATTTAATTTTCTATAATTTTTTTTTTGACCAGCTGGTGACAGCTAAGCTATGCCAGATTGGCTCCAACATGCCATCGAGTCCCGATAGCTCATCTGATTCGTCCGTGGGATCCCCTCAACACTTTGATGGACCTAACATTGAAACAGAGAACTGTCTACCAGGGGTGGTAAGTACTAACATCTAGCACTTGATCATTGAATTTCCTATTAGCAAACATACAGTACAACCAGATTTCCATTCAATGGGACTTGTGCCAGAATTCGATTTTGGCAGTCAATATTTAACTGGTAGAACTCCTATTCATTAGAAGACTATTTTTGTGATGATTAAAAGATAGGAAAATTAATATTATAGCCAGTAAAATATGCACTGTGTGAAATGTAAGATTATTATAAATACTGAGCAAAGTATAGTTTCATGATGTGATGTCATCATGACCATATTTAGGCATGTCACATGTTTTTGTCAAATAAAATTTGATAGTGTGGACAAGGCCTTCATGGTTTAAAATGAAATATATGTATTTTTCCTCAGATTCTGTCCACCAAGAGGCAAGCTGTGCAATTCTTCTTTCAATTAGCAGACTTAGGTTGCTCATTAAAAGTGCCATTGCTAAGAGATGGAGCGAGGGCGCTGTTGAAGATCATCCCAGCAGGTTGGTCTATAATTGTGTACCATACATATTGATTTCCTTACATTTGTGATTTCTCTTGGGAACCTCATCTGAAACAAGCCTCTGGTCTTAAAGGGTTATCCTCTGATTTCCATGTTTTTAAGATGAATTTTCCTCTGACAATGAAAAAAAAAATATCATGAAATTATCTTGATCATTTTACAGTAACATACAAATTATTAACTTGAACATAGAAATTATTGAATTTAAAAAATGTGTACCTTTACTTTTATACTGAATAATGATAAAAATAATAAAACACTGCAAGTGGTTCTATTATTTTTTTTGCTTTAAAATTATTATTATAAAATATTTTTTAAATACATTAATTTCTATATGTTCAAGTTGATAATTTTTATGTTTTTGGGATAATTTGCATGGGACAATGCATCTTTAATTCATTGGGTTCTTAATTTTAATTTATGGATGTTTTTTTAGACTTGTTTTTTTTTTCATTATGTTTCTTATTTATCAATTACATGATTTATGATCTTTGATGGAATTGTATTTATACTTCTTAAAGAAAGTACTGTCATTAATTAATTAATTAATTCATTCATTTATTGATTGATAACATACCATTTTTTGCAGATACCAATACTGTTGATAAACTACGAGCTCTTTGTCTAGATCATGCTAAGTTAGGTCAACAATCTCTGTCGCCCTCACTTGATAGTTTATTCTTTGGTTCATCACAGTCAGAAGTTTTATATCATCTTGAGGTAAGAGACTGCTAAAATATTACCAGTATCAGAATAATGTTATAAAACACTGCCTATACGGAAGCTTAAAGGTGCCATCCAGATGTCTAGACAATTATCTCGTCATGTCTGCATCCTTTAGAAGAGACGATTAGATGACGAGATGCTGGATCTCGTCATGTGTACATCCTTTAGAAAAGATGATCAAATGACAAGATCCTGGATCTCATCATCTAAACATCTGGAAGGTCACTTTAAGCTCCCGTACTATCAAATTTATTTTACAAAAACATGTAACATGTCTAAATATTGGCATTGACTATATACCAGTATATCATGAGTTTTTTTTCAAATTTAGAATTTTTTTGTCATCTAATCCTAAGGTCATAGGTTCAGATACTTTAAAAGTTCTTTTGACAAAGCAGTTCCACTTTTTATTGCAAATAAACTTTGGCATAGAGGTCTCCATAATATACGCTCTATAATTTAACCATCATCGCCACTGCCACCGCTAGATAAGTAACTGATGTCATTTGGCAGGCTATTTTTTTCCACAAATAAACCCATGATAAAGATTACTTAGTGATACTATCAGTTGGTATTCCTCTTCAAAAGTACTTTGCAGACCATTATTGAAATGTTATCTGGATTGTATGCTTTAATTACTCAAATTTTTGTTTTTAAGAAAGTATAATACATACTCCAAGTATTGAAATACACGCCATCGTGTTGGGATTCAATACTTGGAGTATGTATTATACTTTCTTATCTGAGATTAATCAGTGGACCTTTTGGTGTTTGTTTTTAGGTTGTTTATTCTTTACTAATGCCAGCACAGGTGCCACATGGTGATGATGCATATGAATTTCAGGTGAGAAATTAACAAACTTTGAACATTAAGAATATTCATTATTTTTAATAGTTTGTGATCCAAACTCAAAATCGAAAATAAAAATGCTATTACTACTACTCACTTAATTTCGTACGTAGATAAACATTAGAAATAATTTTTTATTTTATCTTTTAAAATTAAAGTTCTTATTTTGTATTGTATATTTAAGTAAAAATAATAACCTTTGAAATTCAAGTTAATGTCTTCCATGTTAATTAACAGTTGCTTCTGTTGAAGAAGACTATTAATGGTACATGTGGTATACTAATTTTTTACCTTATATTTTCTTTTTCAGTATAATTTCTTGAAAAGTGGAGGAGTCGGATGTGTTTTAAATATGCTAACAAAAAATAATTTCTTACCAAATGCGGATTCAGAAACTAGAAGGTATATAATACATGTTGAAATGTGTATAGTTTTGATTTTTTTTTTTTTTTTATTGAACTTTATACATTAATAGAAAATCTGTGTTTGATATAATATACAGTATAGATAGTCACTTTATTCACGTAAACTTATTCAATAATAAAATACTGTTGTACCATAAGATCATGTTAAAAATCTAAGAAATTACATGATAAAAGGTTAATATAAATACATCAGAATTAGTTATAATTAAACACTCTAAACAATCATAAAAGTGTTAAAATCATTAAAATCATTAAAAAGCTAAAAATTACATCAAAATGCTAAGGAACAAATCATAAAAAGCAATAAAAAGGGCATTTTACTCAGCATTCTTTAAAACTTTGAGTTTCAAATGCAAAAATTTATTCTCATTTTGTAATTAATGAAGATTAATTAATGATAATCTCTTTGAATCATCCATTACATTTTACATTTCCTATCCTGTCCTATTTTTCATATTTCTTTATTTTTGATCTGACAACAATGTAATGACCAAACAGGCTAAAACTAAGCCTCTGAATTGGGTTCCTTCATGAGGCTTAGAGAGTGGAGGTCAATTGATTCTATTTGTGATCACGGAATTTGAAACCAGAAAGTTAAAAGCAAGCATTTGCAAACATTAAGCTACAGCATCACTTCAGTATTCATATTCCTGATAAACACTAGGTGGCAGCAAACAACTTTTTTGAAACTTGATTTTCCTAACTGATTTTGACAACTTATTTCACCATACAGAACGTCACTTTTGATGGTGCTAAAGGTAGGCAAGTTAATGTTGACAACGCTAGGCTATGCAAAGATCACAGCAGTGGCTGAATCCCTCCAGCAAGACATGACAGGCCAGTCATCTACACAGACCACTCCTGCTGCTCACAACCAAGCCCTGGTGTTGCAGCAGGCCCTTCAGGGTATACCAAACCCTAACTCGGAGTGTGTGCTTAGAAACGTTGCTATTAGACTAGGGAGACATGTAGCAGATGAGGTAAGTCGTATACAAATCAGTGACAGATTTAAGAGGGGCCCAACCAGTCACCTCCCTACCCTCCACCCCTTAAGCTTAATAGGTTGAACACCTATTCCCCAAAAGCTCACATTCCCAATCACCCTCCTCTCCCCACAGAAAATGCTTGAAGCAAAAAATATTACGTTCACGTAGTTAAAATTCACTTTATTTTGCGAGCTTGCACCCTATCACTTAATCATTGAGCTCTTCACCTTCGCAACCCCATCAATCCCCCACTCCCTTTTAAGACACTTAGATGCACCACTGTATGTGGATAGTGAGATAATCAAGTTTAAAACATTTTCACTCCCATTATAATAAACCTTGAATATTAATACTATATAAATAGTTCAATTGATTTATGTGTGTCTGATTTGACATGACTCACTTCTCATTAGTATTCGTATTGATGATTAATAGGCTAGCAGTCACATGCCAGACTTGAATGTGGTGAAAGCAATCAAGAAGGTGGCGTGGTCAGCTGGTTGTGGGTGTCTTCATCTTCTACATGCCTCCAATGAAGATATTCATAAAGCTTATGAAAAGGTAATAGTAATACATTCATTTGATAACATGTACTACATTCACTGAGGTGTTAAAATGTACCAATCTTATAAGAACCTCTTCAATATATCTCACTTGTTGAAGCCAGCGTCCACTGCTTGTAAAACTTAGTAGTATATTTCATAAAGTTAGACCAGGTTGCTACTTTCTTATTATTTGTTTGATCTTGAGTATGTATGTATACTGTCTCTTATACACATCTAGATGTGTATAAGAGACAGATATATATATGCTTCTCTTGAATATGTGCGACAAAAACATTACTTTTCTTTGGTTCCACTCTGAAAGTCGCATTATGTTATGCAATTATAGTTCTGAGGACCCTGTAAGTCTGTCACCCTGTTTTATGTAATTATATTTAGGCAGTTAAATAAAACTGCCAGGTTGCAGTGACCGGTTTCTCAGTGACGAATATAATAACTGCGCATGTGCATTAGCTGCGTGTATGAGAATGATTTACTCTAGTAGTAGTACATGCACTGACACTCTTTGCAGTTCTTCGCAATACAATGAAGATGAATATATTGATTGTTGTTGATGATGTTTAGGTAGGCCTAACCTCCTGGTAGACATTTTGTTTAATAGGTTAAAGTGTATTGTAAACATTATTATGAATTATTTCAGCGTTGCCTTCTCTTTCCACTTGATTTAAAAGTAAATTGCCTTGTTATCTTATAACCATATGCATTTCTAGGTCTGTAGTCTAGGCTTCATTCCTGTTAACCAGTGCCATTGAGCAAGAATGGTTAGGTCTGCTGTGTTTTAATACTATACTCCAAGTCTTTCAGAATAAGCATTGTTTTAACATTTGGTACCATTTTCTCAACCCCAGGGTGTTGTGAAGTTACCAGAACAAGAAGATGTCTCATTAACTAAGGAATCTCTAGAGGTGTTGACCATCTGCCTAGCACTCTGTCCACCTGCGCTGGAAGCACTGAACAAGGACAAGAGCTGGCAACACTTCATCATAGATCTACTACTACTATCAAAAAGCAGGTCAGTATTGGTGTTTTGAAGCAGATTGGGTGAGGAGGGGGTGGGCAGAGTGTTGGAGATGAAATTTAAATCAGGAATCCTTTAAGACTGCTGTAACAATAGCCACTACCTTTTACCAGTATTAATGATACCAATCAGGAATGAAGAGTGGATACATAAAATGTACACAAAGATGGGGATAAAATATGTATGAATGAGTAGAGAACATTAAGAGGATATTTTTGAGAGTGTTGTTATAATGATAAATTTGTGATGTCATTGTGATAATATTTATAATGTCATTGTGATATTGTTGGGATATCCATTATGATGTTGATGGTATTTTGTGATTTCAGAACGGTGAGGCTGTCGGCAACAGAACAATTTAACCTAATAGCTACAAAGTGCTCATCAGCACATGTTCCACTACACTTCTTTATCACATTATGTTTTACTGTTCTACAAGTAAGTGTTCAATAATTATTACCAAAAATTATGGGAATATTAAAGACACATTAATAATTTGTTGAGTGGATATAATTAATTAAACATTTAATGTGTACACATAGATGTGTAATCATTGTTTGTGGTTTCATAGCTTCAGTGATTAATAATATGAAATAATTTTTACTGTGAATATGCCAAATAAATAATTTACATGTTGACCACCAATTTTATCACATACCAAGGTTAATTGTATGACATTATAACCCATTTACATGTAGGCATTGAATGTTTTGTTATGTAAATTTTTAAATGATTGTAATCATTATCACATTTTTCCATTATTTTCGACAGAGTATCGTAAAAGAGAACCCTAGGTCATGTAATGAGTACTTTCAGTTGCTCTGCCGATTGTTGAATTACGCATGTACGACAAACGTCACGTTGAATGCTGCAGAGACTTGCCTGACCAATGAGATTGATTGGCTCAAGAAGGTTCGGGTGAGTAAGCTTTGGTAATAGTGATGCTTAATAATTTCTTGGGAGCGGTTGTTGCAGCGATTGCAGTTTGGGATCTTTCAATGCATTGGTGAACCTTTCGTTTGTGACCTTGGGAAAAACACTTTACCCATGTCTCCCCTCCCTACCCCCTGCCTTTTATAAGAAGTATGCTTAAAACATGACTAGGTCTATTCCTGATTGAGTGGAAATAGTTCTGTACTAGTTTGCCAGCACATAAATGTATAATACTGGGTAATAACAGCTTACGCTCTTGATATTGTAAGGCATTTGGCACTATATTTATTTTTTTGGATAATATTATTCTTATAATTTAACATTATTAGTGTTAACATTCTACTAATTAAACATCAATATTTTGTTTTCCTTGTTATCATCATAATCAACATTATCATCAGCATCAGGCCTAAAAAATAGATTGTTTGCCCTTCTATGCAGGAAATTGTCTAGGAGGGGCGGGTGCAAACAATTTTTTAAAAGTTTTTTTTTTTCTCCTGTCACCAAAATTAACATTAAATCGCAATGCTTACAATTAAGCCTGCTTCACTATTTGTTTTTTAAAGGGTATTCATCAGACTGAATAAAAATAACCCATAATCCATATTTTGCAAATAATTTAGGCCTAGAATGGTGATACCTATATCCGACACCAAATTTATACTTTCATGCACAAAATGGAGAAAAACAAAGATTACTTTTTAAAATTTGTGATCTAAAAAAAAAAAAAACACCACCCCCTTTTTTTTTCGTGAGCTAGGGGCGGGTGCTGGAGGGCAAACAAACAATTTTTTTTTTTAAGCCTCCTCACCGTCACCATCATGTTGTTACTATTAATTATATTTTCTTCCTTATATCTATGGATTAGCATTATTGCATTAACATATGTTTTTTTTTTCCAATCAGGATGAGTTGCTGAAAACTGGCGAGTTGCCTGTTGAAGGGAGTTTACTGGAAGGCCATTTAGGTATTTGTAAAGAATTGCTGACATTTATGTCGTCAGAGAAGAAGCACCAGATAGGATCGAAAAAAGATGGCTGTAATCTAATACATGTAAGTCAATTTAAATGAAACAAACTTCAGTCTTCCATAAATTTTTTTAATTTAATTTAATGTAAACAGTTTTGTGACTATCTGTGATGCCAACTGGTAGTTAGCCAAACTGTTTACAATAAAGGGAAAAAATCAACAAAAAGAAAACATTACATATAAAGAAACATCTCTGAATCATAATAAAATTCAAAATCATTGATTGAATGAAGCATGTAAACATATGCATTGCATAACACATTTGTAATAATTTGGTATAAAGCAAATTGTAAATCTTGATTTTACCATTTAATTAACATATGCACATTATTTGATATTGTTTTCATTATCTAGGAGTTGATTGATGACTTTTTGTTTCCTGCGTCCAAAATTGTTGTGCAAACACGCAAAGCTAACGATGATTTCCCGCTATGTCCTGTTATTCCCGTATGTAGCTCACCTCCAACAACGATCGCCGCTTTCGATCTCCTGGTTGCTCTATGCGTCGGTTGTATACCAAACCTGAAATTAGTCTGTGATATGTTAACAAATATGTATTATTCAGGTAATACTATGATTTTTTCAGTTACAATGTTTGATATTTTGATGACATAACGATGGTATAGCATACCATGTATTCTTGTGTATAAGGCAATCTGCGTATAAGACGACCCCCAAGTTCGAGAAAAATATTTTAGACGATTTTTGTATGGCCGTCAGAATTTTTACTTTCTGCTTATTATGGTCTTGAAAATTGCATCTAGCTGGCTAAAAACAGAGTCAAATGTAGGGAATCTTCCAAATAATATCATTTTATGGGCTTTTAAATGTTCAACAAAATCTTATTTCCCACATTTAAAATTGTGTTCATTCATACAGATAGTGGCTTTTCAGTAGCAAATTTGTGTCTTATGGACGATCTGCACTTAAGACGAACATATTTAAAAATAAAAAATGTGTATGCGATACGTGTATTAGATGACCCCATGTTTTTCGATCGTAATTTGCTATTTTTAGCCTTGTTTTATAGGTGAGAATACAGTATATGCATGTAAATTTAATATAAGCTATAAATTATTCATCCAATTTTTTAATATCTAAAATGAAAGTATTAGTATTGTTTATATTTGAAGTGTTCACCATCTGTGAATTTGATTTGTATTAAATTTTATCATCAATTTTATATAAATTATACCAATATTATGTAATATATATTGAATTGATGTACTGTAATTAAATAATTGAAACAAGGCAATTCGACAACAGGACGCACATCTCCGCTCGCGAACATAGCACATTCGTACAGTTTTTTTACCTTTACTGTGGCATCGACAATCTGATACTAGTTGCGAGTAAAGTCGTCAATTATTAGTCTATGTGTGCCATATGTTTTATGGTATTCGTTACTATTTCATTAATTTTGGGTAGTTCGCAATGTATGTTACATCTGATTTCTTTTGACCACGAGCTTGTTAAGTGCTTCTATAAACTACAATTTCATTCATGAAAATTGACCAACAAAATGAAAAGTTATAGCAAAAGAAAATTTACGATTTTATGAAAATTCTTGTTCTTCTATAAAATTAAACTCATTTTGACAATGTTGTACTAAGGTCCACAAAATGAACATTTGAGTAGATACAGAGAATTAATTTGTTTTTTCTGCAAGCTGAGTCTCTTGAACCACTAGACACCCTCATCAATAAAATTAATGTTGAAATAACAATGTAATTTCAGTCGAATGTTAGGCCTTTGTAATCACCACATGACGCATGATAATCATATCAACTGACACGCACTTGGGTAATTTGTTGCTGACAGTTAATTATGGTTTGGTTGCTATGGGTTTTGTGACGATCAGGGTGCGTTAAACTCAGTCAAGCGTGTAGGGGCGCACGACATGTAGAATGTGGATGCCAGAGCTTAAACCTTTGATGTGCTGAGATGTGCATCCTTTTGTTCAATTGCTTTGATTGAAACAACCAATTTTTTATTCTCATAATTATACATCCTAGTATGTGAAACTAATGAAGTCTTAAAATAATTGGGGGATTCAAATAATTTGTTGAATGAGGAACAGTGTAATTGCCCAAATACATTTATCATTCCAAACACGTTTAGAGCATTATTGTAATAAAAGAAAAAAAATATTTAATTTCTTTCAGCAGGAACTGAATTACCACTCTGTGAATGGGAGTATCTCCCACCAGTGGGTCCTCGACCAATCAGAGGCTTTGTAGGGTTAAAGAATGCCGGTGCGACATGCTATATGAACTCGGTACTCCAGCAGATCTTCATGGTTCCCGAGATACGCAAGACAATCCTCAGTGCCGAGGGCGCTGCCGTTGATGTTGAAGATGATGGTTCCGGTGATGAAAAGCAGGACATAGAGGTAGACAGCCCTGTCCAGAATATCAAATTTTATTTGACAAAATCATGTGACATGCCTAAATATGGTCATGATAACATCACATCATGACCATATATAGGCACATCATGACTATATATGGGCATACAACAGTTTTTGTCAAAGAAAATTTGATAGTCTGGACAGCTTTATACTGTACATTAAAAAGATGGGAGATTGGAAAACATGAAGGTTATTGACACAGACACTGACCCTAGGATGCAATTTGGACAATTTTAATTTACATGCATTCTGTTATCAGTCAATGTATATTTTAAATTATAAATTGGCTAGATACAAATTCCACTCTAACAAAACACTATCAACATTATAAACTAAGACCATAATCATCATAATTTTTTATAAGTATTTGATATATTATTTTTAAAGTGAATCAGTTAATCAGGATCTTGTATTATATATGTCTCTTTTAGGTAAACATAGACTGCAAGCAAGATGGAGGAGGAGACGAGAAGATTGGTTCCAGCAAAGAGAGTGAACGCAAAGAGTACAACATGGGAGTGTTGAAGCAAGTACAGTATGTGTTTGGACATCTAGCAGAAAGTAAACTACAATACTATGTCCCCAGAGGGTTCTGGAAGATTTACAAGTATGTACCTTTGCTATATGTAGGGTGGTTTTCGAGATAGTAAAAAGAAAGTTTTCAGAGGAAAGTCTTGAGAGAGAAGAGGAAGGGTCTCATTATTTTTGTAGAACCACATTACTTGAGGTATTTCTAATAATATAGAAATGGGTTTTCTCACAACAATCTTTATAATGAATGTATTATAAAACCCTGAGTTCAAGATTCAAAACTTATAATCACATCAACTCTTTACTATATTCTTCTCTTACCTCTTTCTCTCTGATGTAATGATTGTCATTAATTATATGACCAACTGAGGACATTAAGTTCTATTAAACAAACTCATTAAACCCTAATCTTCCTCTCAACTTTTATCAGCTCAAATCTCACCTACCCCTTAATACTTCAGTTTTTGTGAGTGTGTAATTCCCAGCAACTCTTTTTTCTCATTTGCGCCTTTCTTGAGGAATACATAAATTTACCTTGTACCTGCATACTTTTGAAGAGAAATCAACAAAATTCCTACTGTGTTATCTAGTAGTACATCACATCAAAAATCTCAAAAATATATCAGTGTGTGTAATTTTATTTTGTAGATTATGGGGCGAGCCAGTGAATCTTCGTGAGCAGCATGATGCATTAGAGTTTTTCAATAGCCTTGTAGACAGTCTAGATGAAGCCCTCAAGTCACTAGGACAACCCCCTATCTTTACAAAGGTCATGGGAGGGTCATTTGCAGATCAGAAGATTTGTAAAGACTGCCCTCACAGGTAGGAATTTCATAATATTCATTTACCAAAAATAGCATCCTGCAATATATTTTTTCTATCTACAAAGATGAATTTCATTATATTATGCATTATTTTTTTATGCCTATTTATATTTTGTTTTCATAGTCATATAGTCTAATTATATCTCGGATTATTAATTCTTCACAATATTTGTTAGGCTAATTTAATTTTTTAGGAGAATTTTTTGATGACAGATAATTATAATTCGTGTCAATCTTGGTCACTAAGTGTTTATTGTTCATGGGAAGATAGTTAAATACTTGCATTTAGTTGCTTTTATAATGTAATATAAGATACTTGTGGTAGAAGGCATCTAGTTTGTGTGATAAAATTTACTGTTATGATATTTTTAAGTTACAAATATATATTTAAATAAAGCACTTTGCAAACTTTTAATTTATTATTTTATTTACTTTATATTAGGTAATATGTTCTCAATGACTACATGATGTGCTAATGTTAACTGTTATAATAATTCAAATTGCAAATATGTCTTAGTAAAAAGTGTTTTGCAAACATTTCTCATTTTTTTATTTACCTTATATTATGTAATATTTTTTCAATGAATATATTTTTAATTTCATCTATCGTTCAGAATAAATATATCGGATATATTTTTAGTTTTTTTTTATTTCATTCATTGTTAAGATATATTACATTTTTTTTTCATCAGATATTCCAGAGAAGAGTCCTTTACAGCTCTAAACGTTGACATTCGCAATCAGCAAAACCTATTAGATTCATTAGAACAGTACGTCAAAGGCGATTTATTAGAAGGCCCTAACGCCTACCATTGTGAGAAATGTAACAAGAAGGTAAGCTTGTCAATTATCTACCTCAATAAAAAGTATTTTATTTGAGTGTGGAATACATCAAACATTTACTTAAACTTGCACTATCTATCCCTAGAACTATAGAAGTATAATTGAGGTGGAAGTAGGAGAATAACCCGTAACTCGCAGTGTTATAGTGCAGAATTTGCATATGGGTGTGGTCCGTGACTACTTTTGCCGCTGTACAGAAGGGCTTAGTAGCTTCATGCTCACATCATTCGACAGGGGCTGAAATGAATCAGCATATCGTACTCTTCGAAATATGCAATTGGTTCTTTAAAGTGCACATAAATTAGATATGTCCATTGAACAACCGATTATATGTTTTATCTGAGAAGTCTTAGTTTTACAAACCAAAGCCTATACAACAAAAGACATGAAATAGCGCCGACGTTTTAGGCTATAATTGACGGTGCCCCTGCCTTTGCAACTTAGCTACACTAAATAAGATATTTTACTTAAAAACATACATGTTGTTTTAAAATTTTAATTGAAACCTTTTTATTTTTTGTAGGTTGATACTGTGAAACGTTTGTGTATAAAGAAGTTACCGAATATATTAGCAATTCAGCTGAAGCGTTTTGACTACGATTGGGAGCGGGAATGTGCAATCAAGTTCAACGACTATTTTGAGTTTCCACGTGAATTTGACATGGAGCCTTACACTGCTGCTGGTCTTGCCAAGCTTGAAGGTAACGGAACAGTCACATTAATTGCTGACTAATTGGTTTATAACGGTCATTTTGTAGACAAATCATGATTATATTACTTTGCTAACATAATGTTTTTTATCATACGTGACAGAGCATTCAAGAAACAATTTTTGGAAATTATGAAGTTTTATATTTTGAATGTATTTTGTATTAGACAAAATTGTAACCACATTTCAAATCTACACATTTTTATCAGTTATGCAAATGCTGGTTCTTCAAATTTAATTGCTCTTCATGGAATAAAGGAAATTAATCAACCAAATATTATATAAGTATATATTATTATAAAAGCTAATCAGTTATAGAATATAATTATGTAACAAAAAATGGTTTAATCATTTTGTGTTATTATAGTAGTAGTCATTTAATTTGTTATCAATTCTTATGTTCACAAGCTTAGCATGTTTTCTGCTATTTTTGACTCAGGTGAAGAAATTCATGATGACCGTGAAGAAAGCAGTGATAAGTTGGAAGATTCGTCGCGTAGCACATTTTATCGATTAGTTGGCGTTGTAGTACATAGCGGTCAAGCCAGTGGGGGTCATTATTATTCCTACATCGTTAATCGCCATGGTGATGACCCTGCCAAGTGGTACAAGTTTGATGATGGGGAGGTTTCTGAATGCAGGATGGACGATGATGATGTAAGTATAATAAATACAGATTATCAAATTTTTATGTGTTTCTAATTTGTGTCATCTTTCATCCTTAATTCATCTTTAACTAGAATAGAAATTTACGCCAGAGCTACTGTACATAGAGTACAACAGTTGTGTCATCACCATTACGCCTGAATGACTTCATAATCTTAATGGTTTAGAATAGGCTTTCTAGAATAGGCATTTTAAAAACTAATAATTTACCATCAAAATGTACTAAAAACACAAAAGCTCACATTTAATCATCAATTAAAATTTACAAAGAAAAATTAAGATTGGGATCATTGGTTTGTCAGTGGTGAAAATGGCATCCGGTTGAAAGCACTTTATGTTGCCGTACCACTGTAGTACTCTATAGAATATTGGAGATTAGCAGATTTCGTACCTGCACATGTTTCAATCTAATAGGTAAATTAAAAATTTTTTTTTTTTTTTTAAGGAAATGCGCAACCAGTGCTTCGGTGGAGATTACATGGGAGAGGTTTTCGACCATATGTTAAAGAGGTGAGCATTATATTTTTTACATTTTTCAATGTTGTTTTATTTGAAGAGTGTATCACCCATCTATTTCCTTTCCAAAAGACAAGCATCTTAATTAAAATGCTGAGCTCCATATTCTATTACACTTGTATTTGTTTTAAATAATATTTCTATTTTTTATTTTTTTTTATTTCAAGGACATCGTACAGAAGGCAGAAGCGTTGGTGGAATGCCTATATTTTATTTTACGAGCGAGTTGACGTAAAAGAATCGCTTGAAAAGGATCTCTGCAAAGGCATGGATGATCTTAGACTCAGTAAGTTTTTGTTTGTGGAATTACAAATTATTATTAGACATTTTTATAATCATCTACAAATTGAAATGAAAGCAAAATGTTGTTATTGTAATTCACTATACAATACAGTGACACCAAACCAACCATTTACGTTGACTGTGGCCTATCATTACAATCTGTATTTCTAACATTATAGTTTTAGGGGGTTTTTTTTTATAATAAAAAGAAGAAAAAATGCTTTAAACTACAGTTAGTTTTGTGAAGTATACTTTATTTTTAAAATATGTATACTTGTTCCACAGCAATGAAAGAGCCAATTAACATGCCGGCGATTATCCAGAGGTGTGTACGTCGTCAAAATATCCACTTCATGCACAACCGCATGCAGTTCAGTCACGAATACTTCCAATTTATACGCAAGCTTGTTACGTGCAACAGCCCGTACTTCCAAGCCTTGCAGGGACAAGAGAGGCCTGTAAGTGCATTTGTGTTTTTAAGTGAAATATATAAATAAGTAACAGATAGTACTTTTATGTGTTGTATCATAGCACACTGGTTTTTTTGAACTACATTTTATTTCAATCTACATTAGGATTTAATCAGTAAACTACAGCAGCCAATTTTTGGATCCTCCACTTTTCTGGAGGTTGTATAATTGATAACAATTTACACAGTAAATCAGTTAAATTACAATTAAATGTGCATTTTAAATAAACTAAAATTGCTGTAAATATGATTCGGCAAATTGAAGAACAGCTCTTGTGATAGGAATTGATACGAACGTATCTGGTGCAAGGGATATCTCTTTGTAATTCTTTGTAAATACTGTAGTTTAATGCCTTATATTTATTATTAGTTTCAACATTCCATGTCATGTAAATACAAGAAAAAATTGAAGCAATTTATTTTTCGTTCGTACTTATTCTGCATAATTCATGTGAGTTAACTGATAACTTGAAATAACATCCTTCATTTATAATTAAGTTCTGTTACTGTATTTCTTAAATTTTTAGACTCAAGATTATGAAGAGCTGGCCATGCTGAGTATCCAACTGGTTTCCAAGTTTCTATTCACTGTAGGCTTTCACACCAAAAAGACTTTAAGGTACCTCACATAAACTATTGTCTAGGCTATGCACAATAGCAACAGGTTGTTGGACAGGTCATGACTGCTTGACAATTCTTACAATGCCTATTGGATGATTCGTACCATTGCTGTTGGATGATTCATACCATTTTGTTGGAATGGGCAATCATACCATGACTGTTGGAGAATTCGTACAACTGCAGTTGGATGATTTGTACCATGACTGTACTTGATAATTTGTACCAAAAGGCAGTGTACGGAGTGTTTTCATCCAGTTAGATTCACAGCATGTATTTGGACAATTCATTAAAAATTGTTTGAATAATTACAAGCATTTAATACAAAAATATGTAATACATCTAAAAATATGTTGTATGATAAGGCTAGTGTTAACTAATAGTTATATTGTGTAGATCTGATAGGATATGATAATATCAGAAGTTATTATTTTAAAATTTATAATAATTTTCAAATTTCAGTACATCCTCTTCCATAGAACAGACATTGGTCAAATAAATGAAATGTTTAAATAAATTATTTGTGTTATTTAGGGGTTCTGCTAATGAGTGGTATGAAGCACTCTGTCTGTTAATGCGTACTTCAAAGGCCGTACGAACTTGGTTTGCACAGAATGTTCTCTTTGCAAACCCAGGAAGATTCTCGGAATATCTACTAGAGAGCCCCAGTACTGAAGTAAGTCCATGAATTGTGTAAAGATAATTTTAATTAAGTTCATGATGTACAGTATAACTGGTATCTTAGCATCAGTGCGAAGAATGAATGTCTTCTGGAAATTAAAATCAATATACAATTAAATGACTTTTTAAGCAAATAAAAGAATTCTTCGAATCATACTTTTATAATCTATTCATTTATCACAATTCTTTATCTCAATATTTTTATTTATCCGTCGATAACTCAACGTAACATTTTAATTGGGTTAAAACTTGTTTTAAAGTGCAATGTGTTGTTTTATTGGTTTTAGTCTTTTTAACACATTTAAACTTGTTTTTGAATACAAGTCATTTTTCTAATATTTTTTTTATTTTAATTGTTGAATATTTTAAAATTGTCTCAATTTTGATTGCATTGTAGTTCAGATTTTTATATGCTATATATGAATTGATTTAATTGAGTACTGTACCTCTTTGTTAAGTTTGTTGTTAGTGCCACACATTCAAAATATTGGATTTATTTTTCTGCTTTATGCTTGATTTAATTTGCTACTACTTTCCACCAGGTGCGGAATGCGTTTGCTAAGCTATTGGTCATCCTGTCTCACTTCTCCCAGCAAGATGGGCCATTCAGTCTGTCTGGAGCCATCAGTACAGGTATGTCAGCAATCTTTCAAAATCATTAATTGCTGTTAACATTGTGATACTGAGCTTGTAGAACAGTTCTAGCTTAAATATCAATATCAACCAGTTAGCTTAAATAAACAGTACTTTAGTATAGTCATATAACAAACCTCTGGCTTAAATAATAATTTATTAGACCTCCTGTATTTATCCGTTATTTTCACGAAAGTAAAAATTCTGCTCTTTTTGATGACCCCCCCCCCCCAATCTCCTTCCCTGAATTTGAAATCATCATTTAATCTTTTTTTGTAAGAGTATAAATGCCTGCACTTTCAGCTCTCTACTTCCTTCCCCACAAAATGTTTTGTACACTTGCAAATATGATGTAAATAATGGATTGTCCTTAATTTTAGATACAGATAATAAAATTTAAATTTTCAGTATACTATTTCAATTATATGTTTAATTATTTTTATAATGTTTCCAGTTATAATTAATCAACTGCCTTCTATGTTTATGATAATGGTTGTTCTTTTTTTAGTTTATGGTCATTTACATATCTTTTTTTTAAATAGTCACTCGATACAAAATCAATAAAATAAATGTTTTGTTTTCTTTGCTTTTCAGGAGAAATTCGCGAAAAACCCAAGAGTTTAAGTGATCACTTACTTCATGCTATCCTGTGTTTGCTAAACAAGGAAGTTTCGGAGCATGGACGACATCTTACACAATACTTTCACTTGTTTCAGATGTATGCCAATCTAGGACAGGCAGAAGTAAGCTCATATATTTGTTTAAACTCTAGGAGGTGCTGCTCATTCATTAAACCTTATGGTTTTGATTCCACTTAATATAAGCTCGGTTAACACTTTCAAATGTTATGTGAAAAATAAATGTGATATGCCCATATATGGGTGTGATATGACATCATCATACCCATACATGGGCACTTCACACAATCTAAAATTGATATTCAAGAAGTGATTTATATGTTGTATGAGAAAGTAGCCATATTTACGCTATAACATTGTAACTTATTATGTAAAAGCATTTCAATGTACACTGTTGTCTTTGAACTATTCTATTATAGCGAACACAATTATTGGAATTAAGCGTTCCCTCCACATTCATGCTGGTGGCCCTTGATGAAGGTCCTGGGCCACCAATTAAATACCAGTACGCTGAACTGGGCAAGTTGTACTCGGTGGTGTCGCAGTTGGTTCGCTGTTGTGATGTCTCATCCAAACAACAGTCTTCAATACCGGTAAGTCAATGTTGGTCACAAAATAAAATAATAATAATAATAATAATAATAATAACAATAATAATAATAATAATAATAATAATAATAACAATAACAATAATAATAATAATAATAATAATAATAATAATAATAATAATAATAACAATAATAATAATAATATTGCCCCTATGCACTTACACAAAAATTGTATAGGGTGAACCAAAATACTTGTATGATATTTGAAAAGATCATTTTTCAAGCTTTGATTAATAAATTTGATATTTTTACCTTGAAATTTAGTCATTTATACCAACCAAAATGCATGGTTGAAAATTAACCTTAAGATTAAGCAACAAAAAAAAACTCACTTTTTTACAAATAAGATATTAATTTCCAACCAGAACAGATCGGAAAAAAGAGTTTTTCCTTATTAAATTGATATTTATCAAAATTAATAGATTGCTAATTGTTAATTAAATTGCTTGTTTCTTTTGCTAGGGAGGTCAACCTTTACCAAACCCCCATGGTGAGTCCAGTCTGCAGCGACCTATCATGTCAATTCAACCACAAGTTGCTGATCTGCTGTTTGGGCGAGGAGGCTATGTCAAAAAACTTATTGAAGACTGTAACAATTCTGATGAAACAACCAAGCTACTAAGAGTAAGAATTTAAAATATAACAGTTAACTAGTGTTTTTTAGCTAGGTCATAAAAATGCCTTGTTTGTTTACATGCCACAATGTGATGACATTGATGGTGTTTTAGCCTTTGTAATCACTATTTAACGTTTGGTGTTTAGGGCTGTTTCTGCATCTCTTATTATCCGATAAGTTGTCGTAAAGTGGCCAATTTATTATTTTTCGCTGTAGAAAACAAGACCCAGAGTTTCCGATTAATTTTTGTATGAGAATCAGATAATTTATCGGAAAAAGCTCTGAATGCGAAAATAAATAACCTTTGACCGATGTCAAATCACAGCTATGCAAAGAATTCTTTTGGGTAGGCCTAGTAAGTTCTAAGGCAACTAGTGGTTAGTAGGCCTAGGAATCACACACTTCCATAATAAAAAGTGAGTACTTTGCTGCTTAAATGTAAAAGAAATCCTGAAAAGGCTGCACTCGATGTCGACAGAGCCTGGCGGGGCTTAGGTGTATCCCTATCTATTGTTTATTTGTAATGCACATCAAACAAAGCTAGCATTCGTTTTCGTCTTCTCAATCCTTACATTAAAGTACAATGAAACATCGCTGCAACAGTACATTTCCCAGAGTGAAATAGAACCGTACGATTTCGTTCTTGGCCTAGGCCTGTCCATCACGCGCAAAAAAAAGGTCACCTGCTAGGTCAACAAAATGGATGTTTTGGTGTTAAACACATTGCTTTGTTGTCCATAATATTGCATGATGGGATAAAATATTTAGAGGGAATTTAAGATAACTTATCGGAGAAATTATCAGTGCTACGGAAATACGGCCTTAGGCATTTATGTCCAACATAGTCAACAAATAAATAAATAAAATAATTGTTGGAGTCTTACCATGTCGACACAGAACCTTCTGACTATAAGATTTTATGTCTTGTTTATATTCATTCATTAATCAAGCATGAATATGTTACATTTTTATCCTCATCAGTTCTGCAGTTGGGAGAATCCTCAATTTTCCTCAATGGTGCTAAGTGAGCTCCTATGGCAAGTTGCATACTCTTACACTTATGAACTTCGACCCTACTTAGATCTGTTATTACAGATGCTACTACTGGAGGACAGCTGGCAGACCCACAGGATTTTGAATGCCCTCAAAGGTAACTTACCTGCTCTAAACACATGTTCTCTATCTGCTTATAAGGGTTCGTGTTTTTTTTTTTTTTGTTGTTATAGTGTAGTTTCTACAGAAAACTATAAAGGCAACAACATTGCCACTTGCAAAATATTCTCTAATTTATTTTTTTAATTTTAATCTGTCACAACAATTGTTTGTTTACCAAAAGGTATTCCAGATGATCGGGATGGCCTGTTTGATACAATTCAGCGGTCCAAGAACCACTACCAGAAGAGAGCCTATCAGTGCATTAAATGTATGGTGGCGCTGTTCAGTAGCTGTGCTGCCGCCCAGAGTCTACTCAACTCAAATGGTGATTTGAAACGGAAATGGAATTGGGCTGTGGAGTGGCTGGGAGATGAGTTAGAACGGGTAGGTACTATATTCAGCTATTTCAATACTGTACTTTCATTTATTGTTTATTCCACTAAAACATAAACATATAATTGGCATTGATTAACAACAATGTGTTGAACTCAGTGGAGCCAGACATCATCCTCCTTCTCTATAAGTATTTCCGGATCATTGAGAATCCCACCATACACAATGTTATGCAACACCCTCTTTGCTGGGGAGTATTCCCTGATCTGCTCCTCAACTTGGGTGCATTCCAAGTCACGTTCTTCAAGTGTCTACTGATTTAGCCTGAATTATTCATGAAATTGTATTCAGTCCTGCACAGTATTGTTAACAATTTTATCTAAATACTACTCTCTGTTTTTGTATTACTAGCGCCCATATGCTGGAAATCCACAGTACGCTTACAACAATTGGTCACCACCCGCCCAATCAAATGAAACATCCAATGGATACTTCTTGGAAAGGTCACACAGTGCAAGGGTCACGCTAGCCAAGGCTTATGAACTGTGTCCTGAAGAGGTAAAATTTATTCTATTCAAAATAATATTGAAGGGAACATTCAAATGAAAATGGCATCATATGTAGGACATAGTGATTTATTGTAGTGCGCCCCCTGGAGGCAAAGATAAGCCATCTTTTAGTTTTTTGTGCGGTTTGGCTCAGTGGGAATGGTTTGATTTCCCAACCTTAAGGTCAGGGTTTCAATGCTTGCTGTACATTTCTCTTGTGTCCTTCAGCAAGGCACTTTTTTTCTGCATTGCTTCTCTCCACCCAGGAGTATAAATGGGTACCTGGTGGGGTTGCCTGCTCCTGCACTGTTTAATAAATATTAATGGTCAAATGTCAAATTACATGAGTTATTTACAGTATCTTCTTTTTTTTTCAACAAATTTAATTTGGAATTAAATTTTTTGAGAAATGAGAGATTTTTATTTATTTTGTAAGAAACTTCTTTCACAATCCAATCATTGATCATTTTATCACTGAGATTTTTAAAAATATGTTCATAATAAGCAATGATTTTATATGCATCCCATCAGAAGAAAATCTTCACTGAAAAAAATTTTATGACATGAATATGCTTTTAGGAACCTGAGGAGGTTGAAGTTGGTGAGGATCAGGAGAGTTCACCAACAGAAGATCCACCGTCAGGACACTATCAACATCATCTGCACACTGTCCAACCACAGAATAACCAGCAGCTAATCTCAGCCCAGGTTTGTAATCTTTTTTTTACCATAATATGCTTATTATAATTATTAACAATCTTCCCGTAACGCAACACTTGACTGCCAAACACGGAGATCTCCGTGTTTTAGGTTTCTTTACAGAATCTGATAGATTGGGTAATTACCAACATGTACTAACAATTTAAACACTATATTCAATCTGGACCGTAAGTATTTCGCTATTGCAATGTGACCTATTCTCAGTGACCTCATATTGCATGTAGATACTGAAACGCGGTTATCTCAGTTCCATTGTGTGAATATGCGTAAAACAGCAAAACTGAGTCACTTTCATTTTACTGTTACGGGTCACAGATTGTGTTTGTGTTTGGTACCATTGTAAAGAAAAGATGTTTATAATTCTTGTAGTACTTATTACATGTCAATCTGATTATAAACACACTCTCAACGAGCTTCGAAAATGTGTTAAAATTCCTTAAAAAGTCTGGTGGTGGCTGATAATATTTTTTCAAACCCCTGGCAGTCAGAGTTTTAATCTTCTTTTTAACCATTTTTTGTGACTACTCATTCACAGCCAATTGCAAGATAGAAATTAAAGGATGTTTACTTGGCAGCAATCATTGGATGAATGTTGACACATCGCATTTGAATGCACGACTTTCACTGTAAATTAATTTTTTTATAAAGAATTTTTTTTAAATTATGTTTTAATTGTATTTCTCCCATAGAACAACCAAATACACCAGCAAGTACCGAACAACCAACAGCCGTACAACCAACAACATCACATGACAAACATACATCGTCATAACAACACAATCAACAACAGCCTGAACAATCAAAGCAGACCGCAGGGCAGCAGTGGAGAGGAGCAGAAAGAGGAGGAAGTAGTGAGCCCAGGTCAGTCAAGCAACAAGGAATCATAGATGTATGGAATGCAGATTGACTCTGAAATGTATGGGAGGCAGATGTAGTAAATTGTTTGCAGAGTATCAGTAGATATAATATGGTAGTATAATATTGAAACATGACAGACCCTTAAAGAAACATTATGGGTGCTGTTTAGCTAATAGGACACTGAAAGAGAACACTCCTCAACCCTGCATAATAAATTTGCAAATAAACAACCAAATATAATTTAAAACCATTTTTAGGCATATGTAAGTATTACCTATTCTATAACATAGCTTTATTTTAGTTCTGTTGTAAAGAACAAAGCCATATATTTTTGTGTTGTGGAAACAGATTCCTGTTATTTTTTAGCAATTTTTCTCTCCCCTTACATCCGATATTTTTTGTTTTTGTTTTTTTTTTGGAAATGTTGTTCCCAAACTTAATGTCTTTAATTACAAGAATGGCTTATTCTGTTGTAGCCTTTACTTCTACAGGAGTGTGTAGATTAGTTACAATATAGAAACACAGCACAGTTTCTTTATAATGAACCTGTGTGTATAACATTATTGACATTTTATATAAGCTTATCATATCATATGGGTATTTATAGATTTAAAACATTCATCAGAATGTTTACAAAGTTATAATGTTATATTTAAGGATTGTGGCTCTTACAGATTTTAAACAGACATCTTCACAATTGACACAAATTTGATTTGCAGTATGTGATAGTATCAAACTGTCGATGACAGCAATGAAGACGACGGCGATAATGACATTGACAGCGATGACGTTGATTGTTTTTAGATATTTATATTCCGTATGTGTATGTTATAAAAACCTACTCTATTCCTTTAACAAATTGAGAACCTTAATTAAATCATTGATAGTCTGTGGATCAATCAATTTATATCGAAATAATTTACTATCTTAGAAGCTAGTCTATGGTATTGCATTCTCATCCCATAGCCAGTAAGCATCAATTAATAGTTACCATAATTAGTGTTAAGTAATATGCCAGTAATATGCCACTCAAATTTTCAAGTACAGTATCCTCTTCAATGGAAAACAGTGTGATGTTATTTTTCCCATGAATTTTATCGTACTGTACCAGTGTGTGCCTTTTATAGCAAAATTATTTCCAATGTGAAATTTTCCACAAACTCTGTGAACAAAATAATTATGTATTTTCTATCTTACACTACAGTTGAACTTGCCTAAGTGGAATCCAAAATGGCATTGAAAAATTGTTCGACTTACAGATCGTTAATTAATGGAAAACACAAAATTTAGCATGTAAAATAAGATCGACTTCGAAATTAATTGAGTTAGGCAAAGTTGACTTAAGCAAGTTTAACTGTATTAACTGGAACACCTGAGTTAAATAGAAAACCTTGTTAAATAGCACCACTTTATCAATTAGGCAGTTAAATGTGCTTTGTAAATATACAATTGTGATTAGATAGATGTTGATGAAAACCACTGTATGATAATTGTACATTAAATGGTGTGTCCCTAATCCTTACCAAGTTACCCCTGATAATAATATCTGTAGGTAAGTAAGCTTTTTCCAGTGTGTGGAATTCCCAGCAATTAATCTCTTGTTCTTAACATACATAAAGATATATATTGTGTGCAAGAGTTCATTGATATTGTGAATCTGTGTGGTTTATTGTTCTTAGCCTTCAGCGGTGCATAGCAAGTTCTACAAACAGGTTTAAAACTTTAGAAGGAAACATAATCAAGGTGTGTTTCATGAAAAGGTTAGTTTTTAATAATTAAAAATGAGTTTTATTATTGTTATTTTGTCATACAGGTTTTTATTTATGTTTTACATTTCAAGGAGGCTAGGCCCACCGTACCATTTCCCTTAAATAAGGGGAAGGAAAAAAAGAACATAATTTATGGGTTTAGTGCCACTTCTTGCTAGGATAGTTTCTCCTATTTAAACTTAATTTGGTTCAGCACATTGTCACATTTCTTCCATTTATGGTATATTTATAAATGTATTTTTTTTTCAAAGTAGGATATATAATTTAAAGTAACCCCTTGAGACACTTTCCAAACATCTGTACATACAATTAGCTAAGATAGGTTTTTTTTTGTAAAGATATTGTGGTTTTTGGAAATTATAATTTACATTTTCGTTGCTTTAAAAGTTGTTTCATCATGATAAATGTCATAACGATTAGGTTGAACATTTTATACAGTATGAGTTTTTTTTTTACTTAATATTTACGTTTATGTAAAGGTAACAGAAGCAGCTTTCCTGATGTTTGTGCCTCAGTGTTTCATTAAGGAGAATTTCTTTAAATGATTAAGCTATGATCTTATTCTAGATAGTCTCTGTATGCCTCCTGTTTGTAATGTGTAGTTCACTTGGTGTTGGAGGAACAACTTTATTGCCTTTGTTGTCCAGGTTTATAGTAAAGTTAGAGGTTGATATGCAATGGTATGTTCTTGACAATCAGTCCCATATTATATAGTATAATCATAAGATAACTTTAGTGAAAATATGACAATAAATGGATTTGTATTTTTTATATGTAATTATTATCAACTATTTTTATTATTGTTATTGCTATAATTATAATATCAAAATGATGTTCTTATTGTTGCTAATTTTATTTTATTTATTATTATGATTAATTATTATTGTGTATGTTCGTAGATTGTATATAAATGAAAAACAAACGTCATAAGGTTCTAAGCCTTATAACGACTATTGTAGGATTGAAAAATTGCCTAAAGTTGTTCTGGTATGCATTGCTCGTACATTTTGATGAACATACTAGGAATTTACATATTTTTGGTTTCATAGTTTACAATGGAAAAGTGTCACTTTAAGGTTAATTGAGAAAAAAAATATTAGACCTATTTAAAATTTCAATTATTGTTGTTATTGCTGTTATTATAATATTAATCAGTAATACAATACTTTTGACCTGAAATTATTTAATAACCCAATTGCAAATGTTAATGATTGCATGGAATCAACCTGTAGAACAACACTTCCCCTGGTTGTGGTTGTGCATTTGGTGTGATGATATTATTATTGTTATGATACTGATTAATAACATTTACTAAATTCCTATTAAACTAAAATTTAAAACAACACTGGTAAAGTCTCAGATACCAGGAAATACGGATAAACACAACTTCTTGTAAGGTTTTTACCCTTTATGCCAAGATTTTTATTCAGATAGGTTTAGGTTATTTTTGTTTCTCCATAATAAGTTATAAAGTTTATGATTTGTTATATGCGACACATGTATTATAGGGAGATGTGAAAACGGAAAGCTTTGATGGAACATGAATGTTCAAAATAATGATTTTGTAGTATAAACACGAGAGCGCTGTCTACTTTAGTTGTATAAATTGCAATCTGTTATGTCAAGCTTTGCAATAAAAAATAAGTTGTGTTAATTTCCGTCATATTTTATGAATCATTCTTGAATACCAAACCAACAAATACTCTCAGGGGCTGATCCATTTGGGGGAATGGGGGAAGAATGTGCCCCCTCCCCTGTTTTGCTACTAAATTTTAAAAATTTCTATGCAAATTAATGGTATGTGCTACTCACTTAACTATTCTAAAACTGTTGTTCCCCCCACCCCCATTTGAAAAATTCTGGATCAGCCCCTGTGCACTGTGCAAACAATGGTTTTATTACCTGATCAAATTTCTCAGACTAGGTACCTGAAATGCACAAACAGAACTTAATTTTGAATGACCCAGTGTCCACATGCAATTTACAGTGTATTTTGATAACTTGTGCAGTTATTTATATAGCAAATAATGCTAAAAGGCTCTATGGGCTTCAAATACAATTATGTTCAAATTGCATGACAAACTGGCGCAATAATGTCTGTTTCTAGGGCGTTTTCGAACCTTTTGACTTCGGAAAAAGAAAATTTTGCCTTCTGTGTCACATTTTCAGTCTTAAAGCAAGATGAGACTATGTAATTGAGTGATTGGTTGATAAGCTTAGTGATAACTTTGGTGATTTTAGCTATCCGTTCAGCCTGTCACCGATAATCAGCAGACGGTGTCGCGTCGTCTTGTTGCTCAAAGGGAGTGGAGTTGGATTCGTCTACTACACGGTTGTACGATGCAGGTTAAGCCGGTTTTCGAATCGAAGGCCGTGGTTCGTTTCCTGAGCTCTGATTTGCTGCGTTTTTTTTTTTTGCTTCGCAGAAAGTAGAAACTGTTCGCTGAAACTCCGATAGAAATGTGAATACGCATGCGCACGAACGACGCTTTCGATTCGCGCGAATAAATCGCCTAGTGGAAAACCGGCTTCAGACTTCAAAGGCATCGCCTAAACTTGCGTCACGTGCAGCTGAATCTAAAGCTTTTTTCTTTGCCTATTTGCATTTTAATTTGGACTATTTGTTCAATCCAAAGTCTGAGTAATTTTCAGTTTTGCGCTGCCTCAGCTCTATATTCTAGTCAATCTGTGACACAGAACTAATTGCAACTGAAATTGTTTTTGCAGAATCTGTACCTGAAATATACACATATAACCTACTAAAAGTCTGAAAATAACAACAATCAGGGTAACATTGTTACAGTAATTCTAAAATTTAATGAGTTAACATCCAATGGTTGATTGTATCACGTCGCACAACTACTGGTTGAACTTTAGGCCTATAATAGTACTACAGTAGGCCTATTATTGTTTCCACTAAAGTGATCAGGCGACTGCAATCCCAAACTTCAAATTCTCGAAGTGGTATTTGACAAACTCGTACAAAAATATGCTAGCATTTTTCACAAATTAAAGTTATGTAAAGATAACGATTTTAAAAATCTATATGACATTTGTATTACCACTCTAGTATGTATTTAAATTCTGTACTTCCAAAGGTAACGCAATATGTATATATATGTTTTAATTGTACCCATATGACATTTAACGAGTTATGACACTCACGATCATTAACACAAAGTTTGTTGATAAACCATTCAAAATACATGAATTAGCATGAAACCATACTTAAGATATATGATTACAAAGCTTGAGATACAAATAAGTGAGAAAGCGCAGTTTATTACCAAGTGATACCTATCATTAATATTACTAAGTATGACAATACAACAGTTTATGACAATATGCGGCAATTTTATTACAAAGTGCGACAGATAATTATGAAGTGCTGTACAATGATTATTACAAATTGCTAACGTACAACTGGCCATTATCGGGGAGGTCAACATAGTTCACTGGTAAAAAGTAAGTATTCACGAAAATACATAGAATTAGCCAAAAATTATACAGCAGTATGCCTACAATACTTCAGTAAAATCATACAGTACTAATTGTATGATTTTTTTTTCTTAATTAGGTTGATTTGCTTTAAAAAAAAATTATTTGTCAATAGTCATTTAAGCAAATATCGTATATACAACATTGTACCGATTGTATCTGATGCTACTAATAAAAACATTTCTATAAATTAACCAAAATATACACCAGCTCTTTACGTTTAATTTTTAATTTCCTATTTAAATGCTTTTGTATTGTTTATGAACTCAGTTTTCGAAATAAAAGTTGCTATATGTGCCTATTATTAGTACCGTGGCCTACTTAAAATATGCATAATAGGCCTCTGTATTATATAAAATACGTTCACACCCGCCAACACAACATATCATCCACACAAACAGACAAACAAAAACGACGTGTATTTATTCCCTCTATTAATTATGGTCTTGCATCTTGAACAAGTTATCAAATTATGATGTTTGTGTCGTTGACAATGTACAGTATATTATGGCATCAACCATAGTGTTTAATGCGCTGAGAATGGATTTCGCGATAATGGACGTTCAATGTAGTCGGGTCCAAAACAGATAGCCTTAAATAGAAAAAAGGAAAAACACAACATTAAACTTGTGGTTTAACAACAGTTCGCACAGTTTTCACATTATTTTTTGAAATATTGCAGTTATTGCTGAATGTTTTGTATCAACCTTAGCCGTGCTTAGAGATCAATCATACTTAGCTTTATTAATCGTAAACAAATTTAAACATCAATCAATATTTACATCAATCATATGGGGTTTTTTTTTATTAACAACATTGATTGCATTAGTGAAACAATGTTCAAACAATGAACATCAATCGCATCACTCAACCATTGTCTGCATTGAACATTAATGAAAATCTACATCAAAATTAATTGCATCACCTATGGATTGGTCACTGGCGTTTACGACAGTGCTAAACCGACGATTAGTGAAAACACATTCACAACTTAGATAATAATAAGACCATGGAAAGTTTCTTTTTCATATTTATGCAAAACTATTTAAAATTAAAACGGAACAGTAGAGAAAATCCGATCAGAATGACAAAATAAACTAAGCATCCACTGGAAGGAATCCCAATATATACAGACGGATCCATTTAAT